AACCTGGCAAGATTCCCACACTCCCTGCGAGAGCAATGTTACAGAATTCCGAGCAGAGTGATTTCTCTGCCTGTTGCATTCCTCAGTGCCTTGGAAGCCTTGTGAGGACTAGGAGGGATGTCTTCCCACTGTGTGTCCGTGTCCCAATCACTTCTTCTTGTAAGGACACCAGTCCTGTTGGATTAAGCCTCACCCAAATGACCTCATTTTAAATTACCTCTTTAAAGGGCCCTATGTCCAAACATACCCGCTCCTGAGATGCTTGGGGTTAGAGCTTCAATGTATGCATTGTGTGTGGCAGGGGGGATACCATTCAGCCCGTAACACAAGACCAGGCTAGAAGCTATGAGTGGTAGCTGTGGCAATGTCTGAAGTGAGGGTAGGTGTCACAGCTGTTCTGTCTCACCTGTCCTGTCTGAAGCTGCTCCAGAGGGACTCATGCCAAGCTGGCTCTAATCTCCTCCACAAGCTTATGCTTTGGAATCACTGCCATTTGAGGGTCCTTCCTGACCCTGAGAGCCTGTGGAGCCAGGATCCTCAGAAAAAGTAGCCAGACCTCTTGATAGGAGCCCAGGATGGACTTCCAGAAAGCCACAGTATGAGCCGCAGTGGAAAGGGGACCACCCTCAGGATGCATCCCCTTCCCCACAGAGGCAATGGGCTTCTGGGGATCCAGGACAGAGGGCATCAGAGAGAATGGGAGAGGCAGCTGCACGGGCACAAGAAGCTGGGGATCAGAAGCATCTGTCTTTCAGGTGAGTTTTTCCAGGGCTCTCAGAAGTCCCTGGGTGTCCTCCTCTTCACTGACAATCCAAGTCTCCACAAGAAGACTCCAGCACAGTGCAGGCAGGAGCTGGTGTGGGGCAGGGCCATCAGTAGGGGTGCACGTAAGGCCCAATGTGTGCTGCACCATGAGCCCTTTCCTTGACCTCTTAGCAGGGACAGTTCAGTGAATGGCAGCAGAGGTGATGACAGTCCATGGGTGCAGGCCAACACCCTGGTTTCTGTGAAGTTGGAAGTGAGTTTAGCATGAGTGTAGACCTCTTACATTCTTACAGATGAGCCATGTGTGGTCTGAAGAGAGGAAAGCACTAACCCAGGACCACTGTTGGATGAGGGGGGTATAGAACCAGGTCTCCTGTCACCTATCTTAAACCATTTGGGTCATCTGAGCTGTCTGTCCCTGTCTGATGACCCAGAGCAAGGACAGTCTAGTTCTCCATCTCACCAGGAAACTCCAGCCTGCCGTGTTCGTGGGAAACCCAATCCTGCCGTGTTCTCAGGAACCTGGGCTTCCGTCTGGTCTCACCTTTCTCTTTATGGAAAAAACCTCAAATAAATTGTTTCTCATGACCAGGTGCTGCCTGTTTCATGCAGACGGGATGACCTGCCATGGAAGGGATTGACCTCTCTCTGAAAAGAGTGGCTGACTTCCAGGGAAATGGGAGTCACCAAAGAGGTTTCCTGTGGCAGAAGACGTTCTGACCCAGACTGTGTTCTTAGAAGAATTAGGGAGGTTCAGTTCATTCCCCTCACCTGACTCCCGCTGCAAAGGAAAGGCCTCCATTCACCTAACTTCCACCCACTCCCTTTCTCACTCCACCCCTCCTCTTCCTGCTCTCTGCGGCTCACTGAATGTGTATGTGTGTTCTTAGGAATATGTGTATGTGTCTGTTTGTGTCTTTATGGGTTTGAGTGTATGCCTATGTGTCTGTGAGTTTGTAGATAGAAATTGTGTGTATGTGTGTGTGTGTGTGTGTGTGTGAGAGAGAGGGAGAGGGAGAGGATTAGTCAGAGTTTGTGTCTGTGTCTGTGTTTTGGAGTATATGTGTGAGTGTGGAAGTGTGTGAGTTAGTGGGAATTTTTGTGTGTCTGTGTTTGTATTTCAGGGTTGAGGGTCTATAACAGGATTCCTTTAACTTTCTCTTCCTAAGGGCCAGGGCCTGAGGCTTCTTTTTGGGCTTGGACGCTCTTCTTTTGTCTTTGCTAGTTAGATTCTCTTTTCCAAGCTATAGAGGAACTCACTATGGGGGCATTGTCATCTGTCAACTCTCTCTACCCCTTGAAACTCACCCTTTGCACAGCAGGTTATAATTTGGGCTATCCCTATTCATGAGGTTTTGGGGAAAGTCCTTACTTGAAGGTCATTTGGCTGGGAATTGAGAATGAGTACTATGCACACATAATAGAATGCATTTGGCTGCAAGTAACAGAAAACCCACTTTGTATTAGTCTAAACAGGTATGATCTTATTTCTCCTTGCAGAACAAGAAGTACAGAGGAGGCCAACCTGAGAGGCTAGGGGGGAGGGGGCCCTGAGTGGTACCCTCAGCGATCCAGGCAATGTCCATCTCTATGCACAACCCCCTTTCTGCAGTTCACCTTGTCAGCCAAACACATCTCATAGGGTTGTTTTGAGACCAGAAGAGAGACAACACGTATGAGAGAATATGGATGTGCTAAGGGGGTTGACAGGTGTCCAGATGTGGAGGTTGCTGCTGAGAGTGCTCTGCCTTGGGCAGGATGGAGCCTGGGGATGGGCACCATACTCTGAGTGTCCTTCTGAGGCTCCCCACCCTTTGGTACTTCAATGGCTTCCTGTCCTACAATAATTTGGTGCTGTGGAAGGAAGCACACATCAGCTTGCTACCTCCATTAGACCAGACAAATGGGTTCGATTCTTTGCAGAATCTTAGGAAGAAGATTCAGAAGTCCAGCAGTAAGCATCAGATAGAATTGACCACAATGTGGGCTCTTAGGAAATGCCTTCTGCACATGGCAGACACAGAGCTGCCCTGCCATTACCGAGGCCGGCCTTCAGCTCCAGTGGACCTCAGCTGGCACCTGGCTCCTCCGGCAGCGTGCCAGCCCAGGCAGCTGAGCAAGTCACCAGCTGTGAGGAGCCGCAGGGGAGAACAATGGGCTGTCCTGCTCTGGGCTGGCTACTGCCAAGATAAAGATGACCTGGGTCAATGGTGGTGTCTGTGTGTGACTTGGCTCTGAACCTGCAGTGAATGAGCAACCTTTGGTGACCTCCCTCCAGCCACGTTCGAGGATCCAGAAGTTACTGGTGCACAGCTGTGTTCCATCAGCACCAAGGGAAGAACGTCTTGGCACGAATCTTAGAATTACCAGCAGGCTACGGGAGGTCAGCTGGCATGGGCCCCTGGAGTCCCCATCCACCTGGTGCTCACACCCTTATCAGGAGCTTAAGACAGAGGCTGTGCTATGGCCCTCAGCATTCACACAATGCAGACTCAGTCTCCCTTTCCATCACAGGATGAATTTAAGAGGCCACAGGGAAAGGTCCAAGGCCCTTTCCAGCTATCCCTTCCTCACCATCCTCTTCCTCGGTGTGCCCCTGTGGGCCATCAAGACTGGGTCTCTTCTTACTACTGGGTGGAAAAAAAAAAAAACAACCAATAGCGAATGAACTTGAATTTAGGAGAGATTTAAGAAGACTATTTCCTATCAAAAGGTATTATTCCCATCTACAAGGGGAAGACTGGAATAGTTCCATCTACCTCACATGGATCTGAGATGCAAGAACTAGAAGGCAGGCCATCCTGCATGCTGACTTCAGTGCCAGGGCCTGTGTCCTTGCCCTCCTCTAACCTGACGAGGCACCCATGACCAGGACCCTCACTCCGAGTGTTTCCAGAAGTTTTCGTGTGTCCAGACACAGCTTTGACAAACGATTCCTCACATCATTCTCCTTTCTGCTTTCCTCTCTCTCTCCCTCCTCTTCCTAAATCTCCTCCTTGGACACTCCTGGGCCCGAGGCTGTCTGGGAGAGGCCATATTTCTGTCCACAGACTTGTGCCCTTATGCCAAGCAGTGCTTGTTGGGGAAGTGGGGAGGTTCTAATTCGGCTCTTTTAGGATCTCTGCTCTCACTCGTTTTCTTGGATTTTTTTGTCCCATTTGGAGTAAGAACACATAGCAGCCACCAACTGAAATTGAGGCAGGATGCCTTCCTGCAGACAGTCCCCCCTCCACCTCTTCCAGCTTCCTTGGGGAGTAGGGTGTAGGCAGGGCATGTTCCTCCTTCCTTCTGTCTTCCCCTTCCCCACCACAATCTGAGTCCACTGCCCAGGTTCAGGGAGGCAGGAGTTAGCAGGGAATCCTGGTGTCCTACACCTGCAGGGATAGCTGTTCTTGCCCAGAGCATCAGGTATTGGGGGGATGGCTCCCCAAGGTCCTCTAGCTGCTCCAGGGAGCCTCAAAACACAGCATGACAGGATAGGCAACCCCATCTCCCTACCCTTTTCAAGTTCTGTGGCACAGAAGCTGCTGATCTAAGGCTCGGGGCCTTGCTTCACCTCCCAGCTTGGTCCTTCCCTTCCTGCTAGGCCCTGGAAGTTTCCTCTACCTCTCCAGTCTTTGCACGTTAATCAGGGATTTAAACTAATTTATCACTGTGGCCCTTGGGAGTCTGGGAATGGGTCTTGTGATCCAGAAGTCCACGCTTCAGACCACCTGACTGCAAAGTGGGGTGGGGGGACAGCAGCCTGGGAACACCATCTTCCCTACGACTCCCTCTGATCTGGCAAAGCCCAGGGCTTCATGAGGCCTCAGACTCCATCTCTTCCACCCACAGTATCATCAAGGAAACCTGGGGGCTGGGAGCTGTCCAAGGAAAGAGTGAAGACATGTAGACTGACCTTGTCCTGGGAAGCTGTGCCCCCAAATCCTGACTCTCCCATCCAGGTGTGCTCAGAGCCTCAGGCTTTGCATTCTTGAAAACACACTTGGATGTAGACCTTCCTCCTAGGGTTTCAGAAGGGCTCCCCCACTGCACTTTCTTGCTGCCAAAACAGCCCTTTCAGGTCTGTCCATCTTGGTTTTTATTCCCCACTTCCAGGTAGGCAGGTGGCCAGTGTCGGAGCTTCTGGAGTGTGTGTGGGTTTGGCTGGGCCTGCCCCCCATCACTGCTCTTCCCCTAGGAGGTTGTGTACCAGCCCCCTCCCACCTTGCTGACCCCCTCTGTGTTTTCCACAGCCTGTGATTGCCACCCCGTGGGTGCTGCTGGCAAAACCTGCAACCAGACCACCGGCCAGTGTCCCTGCAAGGACGGCGTGACAGGCATCACCTGCAACCGCTGCGCCAAAGGCTACCAGCAGAGCCGCTCTCCTATCGCCCCCTGCATAAGTACGTGCGAGGTCTCCTGCTGTTCAAGTCTCCGGCTTGGGTGGGGGCTGAGCCCTTTGGGGATGTTGGTCATTGAGATTCAGCAGTTTAGTGCTCATTGGTGTACACTATCTCAGAATTCCATGCCTGGTGCTCAGTGAGTCCTCCTGGGAGACCCCCAAGTCTATAGGGTTCTTGGAGAAGCAACCGGGGGCTCAGCAGGGCCAGCCTGTCATGGCTGTCTGTTCTGACCCACACTGTGTCTTCCATTTCTGAAGGGGAGTAAGTCCTTCTCCTCTTGCTTCTCCTGGGAAGCAAGCACCAGCCCTTTCCACATTCTGCCTTGACCCCAGACCTGGAGTAGGTACATTCCAGAGGCAGTTACGGCAAGAATATCACATTCTCCATGGCCCTGGTGGACTCAGAACAGAAAGGACTGAAAGCCCAGGGCCTTTGAGAGAAGCTGGGCAAGGCTCTCATGCACAGTGCCCATGGCCCTTTCGGAGGGCAACAGCAACAGCAACCCTGAGGGGTCCCACATGCTATTTTCAGGGGTCACTAATAGCAAATAACCAAAGTCTGAGCCAGGAAAGGGCCTCAGCACCCATCCAGGGAAGAGCAAGGTTGGAGGGGTTTTCACAAAACCCCAGTTGTCAATCTCACAGTTTGCCCAAATCCTTCTCTTCTGTCCATCCAATGCTGCAAGGTGAACATTTTTAGACAGCTAGGAGGAAGTCTGGGGTTATGAAAACATGTGGGGGGTGGAAATGTAGATCTCCCTTCTTAAGGGAGTTGGGAGCTGTTAGGTTGCTCAGACCTGACTGGAACCAACCTTTCAGATCCCCAAGAGGAAAGTCTAAGCTTTCAATACTTGGGAAGTGGGAACTCCCAATTTCCAGCATGCTGTGTGTCTTTTCCCTTCCTCTCGCAAAGCATGGGCTGATGTTGGCATGAGCACTTCCACTCAGCAGTTAGGACCTGGGTCTCCCATCCTGGAACTTCCACTAGCTTTTCCTAAGGGCACCAGCTGCAGGTGCCCAGATAGTGCCGGGGGAAGCCAGCTAGGGAAGCTACGCCCTGTGTGCCTGAGGCACTGAAGTTGGGTAGCCAGGGTGGCCTTGTGGCCATTGGCTCTGGACCCATTTATGGACTTGCAGGATTAGACTGATTATTTAGGTTCAAAAGAGAGCCTAGTACAAGGTCCAGCTTCCTGATGACTCAATGTGATAGGGTACCCGTGGGTCATGGTTGCTAATAGAATCACCCAGGAGCAAGGTTTGACTCCAGATTGAGGGGTGTGCCCTCCACCTGTTCCTCCTAAAGATGCAAAGACTGCCTCTTCCAGCTGACTCTCAGATTTGGCCCCCGGCCTAAGTATTCTATCCTGATTCATCAAGTCACACGTTCTAGCTGATCTAGAATCTGGGGGCCAGAAGTCTTACCCTAAAGAGTCAGATGCTGGCCAGAGTCAATAGAGTTCATAGTCACTCAGCAAGGGACATGAGTCCCTTCCTCTTAGGGATTTTTTGATCCATGGTTTGGCCCTGCCCAGAAAGAGGGAGCCTGAGCTTTGACACTGGGCACTGAATCAATGAACAGTGAAGGCTGCCTGAACCTCGTCACCTTTTTGGAGCACAGGGTAGGTTCAGAAAACAGCAGGAACGAATTGCTATTCTAAGCAGAAAGAGAATAATCAAAATAAAGCTCATGCCTTTATCGGGCCCTTTCATCTTCTCAGTTTTCAGTGCCATTCTGCCCATAAGAAAATGCCTTAGCTTGTGAGATATGACCCATGGGAATGGGAACCTGGGCAGTGGTGCAGACACTTCTCTGCACATGTGAGAAACTCCCGTGGGGCAGGTTCCCAGTCCCCTCACATGCCACCCCTGCCATGGGTCCTTCTCCATCTGTGAGTCGAGCTCAGAGGTGAGCAGGGCCCAGGGGGGCACATCATCATGACAGAGGGACCCGAGGAAGCTCCTCTGGCCACCCAGGGGCTAAGCCAGTTCATGACACACAAACGGCAGAGCCCAAGTAAGACGCACACGCTGGCTCACTCCTGCACCCTCCCCTGTGAAACCAAGAGCCATCAACATCCCTGCCAGGCCAAGGGATGGCATCCAAAGGAGAACAGTGCAACATGCCCAGGATGCTGTCGCCAACTACTTCTTCCCCCTGACTTTTCTTTTCTCGAGCCCGAGGAGTGGGAAAGAGAAGGGAGGATCCTACAAAGTTGAGAGGAGCCTGTGCTGGACTCATTCTCAGATCAAAAATAATGTCTTCTTTACCTTGTTTCTCTTCCTTCCTGTCCTGACCTTGCAAAGAGATCCCTGTAGCCCCGCCAACGACTGCGGCCAGCAGTGTGGAAGAGCCTGAAGGTAAACGGTCCCCTCGCTTCTCAGTCTCACTTTTGCTGTGTGCTGGGGCTGGGAGGGGGGAAGTGGGGAGAGGACATTAAAGTACCCCAACTCCTCTGTAACCACTATCTGGGCTCTGCTCAGTGTGCAGGGTACCCCCTGGTTTGCATTGAAGAGGCTGGAGCCACAGGGCACTTTTTGGTGTGTGTGTGACGTCCTCTCACAAAACTCATAAAAGAGACAAGGTTTTGATGGTGCGCTCTCCAAGCCTGGAGCCCTGAAAATTAGGCTCCTCCTACTTGTCCGCCAGCTGCCTGCCAGTCCAACAGCCTCCACGCCAGGGGTGTGTAACTCCTTCCTGGGGTGACAGAGAAGAAAGGAGTGGGGTGCTGGGGATAAAAAAGGATCTCTTGGGCATGGGGGTCCTAAACAGCATTCAGGGGGGCCCATGAGCAGGGTGGGAAGAGAATCACATCTTCACTTTCATTCACCTCTAACTGAAAGTATTTCCTCCATGCTGAAGGGAGGCTGCAAGCACGGCAGTGGGCCGCACCTGCAGCCTGGTCACCAGTAGAAATCACAGCTGTTTTCCTATCACACCACAGTTGGTACAGATATCATAAAATATTGTGTATGCTCCTTAGTGCTTCCAAATCACAGAATTACCAGGCCCACTGCTAGATCCTGATTTATAATCAATAATAAAGAAACACACACACAACATAGCTATACCATCAATCTGGGTCTTTAAAAGTATTCAGATAACTGTATTTCAGTATTAGTAGTTTCCTTGGCAGTCCTATGTATTTCATTTTAGCATGAGAAGTGTTATTCTGTGGAAAGACCCATGGACTGCACCAGTCCTTGGTGCAGGAGAGATTGTGCAGCCCCAGCTTTGGGCACATGGGGGCACAGAGTTCCACTGCCTGGGGTGCTCTACTGACAGCAGTCAGGCCTGTACCCAGAGTCCTGTTTCTAGGGACACATGAGTACTGGTCCTTGGGGCAGGAGGAGGCAGAAAGTGACAGTGAGGCCCCAACACAGACGTGTCTACCAGCTCTGGGAACCCTTTCTTTTTCCAGATAGGACTGTGGGAGGTGTGGGGGAGATGCAGACCTTTGTGGTTTAGGATGAAGACTGGATTTTGGAGCGTGTTGGCAGTGCACTGGGAACCTGAGAGGAAAGAGACTCTGAACTTGCCTCTGCATAGTCCACAAACAGCCCTAAATAGGAAAGCACAGAAAGGCATTTCAGAGACCGCCAGAAGCCACACTGGGGAAGCCGAAGTCACTATTGTTGTTTGCAGAGTCTTCAGAGACCTTCGGTTGAGCCATTTTCAGGGGATGAGAAGTTTGAAGGAAGTGGCGTCACAGGGTACCTGGAAGACTGGATGACAGAGCTAAGGTGGGGGTGAGGAGAGGAAGCTGTCTCTGTCACAGCATAATTCAAAGAACATCCCAGTTTAGTTTGGGCCTAAGGGAGAGCAATTTTGAAGCTGGAAGACACTTCAGTGGAATCTTGACTCTTGGTCTCCCTAATGTGATATCCGTTGTTGCCTCGCTGACAGTGACTTGCCCACGTGGCACTCACCTGGACAAGATCTTAAGGCTGTGCACATGTTGAGGGCCAAGGCTTCCAGCAGAGGCTGCATGCACAGCTCATCCAGGGGCTAGACAGACCTTAATGATCTCTCTCTCTGTCTCTGTCACAAGCTTCTCATTTTTCTAGTTCTTGCAGCTTGACTTTGCATTTCTTACACAGGGTTTTGGCTTTTCGCCTTCCAAATCAGAAGAGAGCAAATGGGTAAAAAAGGGGGAAAATACTCATGAGATTTCTACATAGGCTACAAGAAGCTGGTGTAAAGCATTAGAAGTTCTCAGTGATTCCTGAGCAGCTTCTTATAAATACTTGTAACATGCTCTTTTGAAATGTCTTTCTTATCCCTGCTTGGTTAAGTAACTTTCTGACTCTCTTTGATTTTGTTACATATTTTTAAAAACATGATTTAAACCGAAGTAAGCAGCACATAAACACGCTTATAAAATAGTGCTTTCCTCACAGAGGGGCTGAGTGAGCGGGTTGGGAGCTTGTAGTGATGCTTGTTGTAGCTCTCATCAGACCCTTGCCGACCTATTCTGGGTGTCTCCGGATGCCCAGATCCTCTGATGCTGTCTCCAGAGAACACAAGCCATCTCTGAGACCCAAGTGCTGGACTGTGGGGCCTCTCACCACAGAGAGACTGGGCTTGCCTGGTCTCAGCGGCTGAGACATGATGGCAGGAGGCCAGAAGGGCCCCCTGGGAAGTGGGCCTTCCAAACCTGTCCACTCTTGCCGTGTTTGCATAGGGAAGGTCTCTGTATGAGGCTGCCTGAGAAAAGCTTATTTACTTTTGCCTGCATAACAGAGGAGAATTAATCAGCTGAGAATCTGTTCTGAAAGCTGATGGACATAACCTTACCCTGAACTTACCTCCTTGAAGGGCCAGCTCACTCAGGGAATGTTCTTCACCTGCTCACTGAGCTAGCTGGTAAGCCGTCATGGGGCAGGGAGGTGAGAAACATGGTGCCCGTGGGAGGTCTGGGGCCAGGGATGCCAGGAGGGAAGCAGATAGGAAAGGAGAGGGGACCACCCGTTTGACAAGGATGTTATGCCCAAGGCTCCCCCACACACACCTACTTTCTGGTTGTGGAGACCCCGACATTCAGGGCTAAGAGAAGGACACCTGCTTTCCCTTGCCCTTCTGTCTCTCAACTCAAGGAGAGTTCTTGATCTGCAAGTTGTTTGGTTTTGTGGAGGCCCCTTGGTTCTGTGGGAGGAATGCTGGTTTGGAGCCAGAAGATTGGGGGTTGAAACTTCACTGACTCGAAGGATTTGGACAATGCAATGGCTTTTCTTTTCTGCCTTCCTGGAAGAAGGAAGGGTGGGACCAGGTGTTTGCCAGGGCCCTCCCCTCCCTGGCTCTCTGTGGTAGGAATGACCTTCTCCTCCTGCTAGAGTTTCCTCCTCTTCAGAGATGCCTGTCCATTCTCCTGCCACCTCTGGCAACAGCTTCCTTTGCAGATGCTGGTAAATATGTAGCCACTGGCTAGGCTGGGAGAGGGGCCTGACTTGTAGCATTTAACATTTTCCTTGGTGTAACTATTCCCCCTACAGCCGGTTTCAGGCTACCCAGCGTGATGCCACTGAATGTAACATTACGAAGAGGTGTGCACAGTTGGCTCTCAGAGCCCATGTGAGGCAACTCCAGCCCACTACTGCCGTGGGCCATCCCCTAGAAATGGAGCAAAGGAATCCAGAGGCTGGGAGAGCTACTTTTGCTGGCAAGAAGCTGTTGATATCTTACTGGCCTCCTCAGTTTGAAGGCACACGCTTGCCTCTTGAGTAGAAGCAGTACTTGGGCACAGAGCAAGGATCCAGCCAACTCCTAGGCTTCTCCCACCTTCCAACAGGGGTCTTGGGTCCTCTCTTCCAGCCCTGTCTTCCATTGCACCCACCCCACTGGGGCCTTACATGGTGTCTTTTGTTAACTGCCCTCAGTCTGGGGTGGGTGTGGCTTCTAAGGGCACCCTCATGGCCCTTCAGCATAGTCTAAAGAGAGAACTTTATGGAACCAGCAGCTGGGCCTGTCCAAAGAGCTCTGCACTCAGGTGCTACCACGTGTGTGTATTGGGAGTGGAGGTTGACCTTAGAGATGTCATATCTGGTGGCCTCTCAGCATCTCCATTTTTTTCTTGTAAGGAAATTAGGTTTATTTAGACCTGCAATCTGGTTAAGCATAGATTATTCTCACTGTATTTTTAATTTTTATTTTTAAAGAAAATTGAACCAGCCTAGGCAATATAATGAGACCTCGTCTCTACAAAAATAAAAAAATTAGCTGGGTATGGTGGTACACACCTGTAGTCCCAGCTACCTGGGAGGCTGAAGTGTAAGGATCACCTGAGCCCAGGAACCATGATCATGCTACTGTACTCTAGCCTGAGTGACAGAGTGAGACCCCTACTCAGGAAAAAAAGAAAAGAAAATTATATAGATTGGGGTCTTGCTATGTTGCCCAGGCTAGTCTCAAACTTCTAGCCTCAAGAGATTCTCCTGTCTCAACCCCACAAATTGCTGGAATTACAGGCGTGAGCCACTGCACCCAGCCTATTCTCACTTTAGAATTTTGTGTACTAAGATAGGGAACCGGTTGGGTAAATACATGAAAATGAGCTGATGGGACATGAATCAGTATTGGTGAGATGTTGGGGATGGAACTAGAGGGAAGAAAAAGCACTAAAATCGGGAGCCTGAGACCCAAGTGCAGCTTGATCTCTCTGACTCTTCCTCTTTGGGAGCAAGGTGATAATAACCCTGCCTCAGAGGGTTGTTGTGTGGATTAAATGGGATGATCTAAATGATGCCTTTGATTCAAATATGAACCTATTTGAAGTCCTCACTGAACATCAGTAAAGCAACATAAAAAACACAAACACTCCAGTATATTGAGGAATTGAGCCAGCCAAGTCTTCTGCCTGTTTCTCCGTCCAGGAAGGTGGGATTTGGCGTGGAACATCACCTTGATCTCAGTCTTTTGCAAAGACTTTGGGAAGGAACAAATCGGACTGCCCAAGGCAGGGAGCAACTGAAGGAACCATTTGGTGGCCTTGTCCCAGCCTTCCAGCAACTAATGTTAGAACCTAGAATTAAAGACTAGCAGTTAACTAAAGTCACGATAGCCAAAAGGTGGAAACAGCCCACTTGTCCATAAACAGAGGAATAGGTCAACAGAGTATGGTATGTCCATACGATGGAATACGAGCCAGCCATGAAAAGGAATGCAGTACTGGCACATGCTACAACATGGAGGAAACTGGAAAACGTTATGCTGAGTGAAAGAAGCCAGGTACAAAGACTACCTATTGTGTGATTCCATTTATATGAAACATTCCAAAGAAGCAAATCTAGGTTAGTGGTTGCCAGAGGCTAGGAGGAGGGAGGAATGGGAAGTGGCTGTGGAATGGGCACAGGGTTTCCTATGT